TCTATGACGCATTCATATCTAGGTTAACAATGTCAGACATGATGGGGACATATCAGTATTACTGTTAGTGTTCATTGATACTTAAAATTTCAGTTTGTAGCTTTAATGTTCTCATAACTTTCAGTATTTATAAGAGCACCTGCCAGGCTTTCGATCAGAACAGCCCTTTTAGTGCCTTACCACTCCAAATCCCATATCACTGTATGAATCTATTTGCTGTGATTGGGGGAAACCTAGGCCATCCCAGTAAGATCGCAGTTTGATGTTGACTAAGGATCAGTAATGGATTCCTGTGATTTAGCAGGGGAAGCATCACTCTTGGCTGAGGATAGCAAACCAGATGAGATCGATTATTCCCCCCTCTGGGCTCAGTCCTGACCCTTAAATTTAAAATAGATGTTTACGGTATATGGTGTAGACTATCCAAGGTTTTAGTAGCATTTGCTTTTTGTGGTGTTTGCCTTTCATGAAATAGTTTTAATAATTCCAAGTATATCCCTAAATGGCTGGCAAAGCATTTGAATGGATTGCATCAGCCATTGTGGACGATTTCCCATTTTAGACCAGGAATTTGTGGGGTCAAACAGTGAACAATGAAAGAGATTCTTGCTCATTGCTAGGCCAGAAGAATCCAGTGACAACTGAGGGTTTGAATTGTAAATCGAGCCTGTCATCTCCTTATCAGCTATGAAAAACCTCAACTGACTTTGTGTACTATTAGGGTTTGTTATTAGGGTTCTTCGTTGTTTTCCAAAAATTTTAAGGGAGATTAGACTCATGAGGCATTTGTTCTAATTGAGCATTGAATCTGAATTTTGGAAAAGAAGAACAAAAATGAGTACTATTTATAAACTATTAAATGAGGAGACAGTATCTGCCACAATTTTGACTGTGTCCACCAAAGTTATGGGATCACTCAGTGTTTTTCAAAGGGTGCTCCAGGGGGGTCATATGCGGCCCACACGTGGTTAATAGACTGCACTTTAGTGGCGTCAATGTCTATGGCGATATTAACAGACAATTTATAAGGAATTAATACATTCACACATGAAATTTAATGAAAACTAACTTCACCTCATTGTTTCCACTGAAAGTAATTTTGACCTTTCTACATTAAATCTGGGGAGATTTCTTTTCTGGCCATAACTGGGAACAGGTGGAGTGAGCAGCCCACACAACCTCTTGCCTCATTGGAAACTTGATTCTGCACAAAAAAGTTTGAAAACCACTGCCGCAGGAGCAGAGAACAGGCAAGCTGTTTGGGGCAGTTTATTGTGATGATTCAGGATCATTATCCATTCCACAAATATTTATTGAACGCCTACTATGTAAGCTCTCCGCAGTGGAGCCCGGGGCATGGTGGTTGCCAAGCAAAACTTGGTTCATTAAAAAGTGCCAGCCAGTAAAACAACCGAATGGGAAACGAGAGGAGGAGCCTGGCTTCGGAGGACCAAGTGTAGAACAAACCGGCTAAAATCCTGTCTGAGCAATTTGCCCCCGCTTGATGGATGATAAAAGAATCTATATGCAGGGCTTTAGTAGGAGCCTATTCGAGAGAATAATTATTACAATATGTGCTAGAAAAGAACCATAATAATAGACCATAAAAATAAACCATGGCTCTTGACTAGTACATTAGACCAGATCATATCAGTTGATAACAGTAATGAACCCTATGTGGCAGAGTGGTACCATTTAGGGAAACTATTGCAAACACCTACACAGAAAGGAATTAGCAAGGGAGTGCTGTTTGCAGAGGGCTAAATGTGGGAACTGCAGAGCATCAGACTACAGCAGTTGAGGTTCACACACTTACATATACACACCCACTCACCTCAGACCTTATTAATTGCTTAAAACTTATTTTATTTTAGTAACTGCCATTTTACCTTAAGACTTTCATTCCACCATCATGTTGCCAAAACATATGTGGTCCATGGGATCCATAGCATGTAATAAATTGATGTAGATTTGTGTGTTTAAAAAGAAAATAGTAAAATGACAATAGTAACTCAGTAGAACCTATGGGTGACTAAAGTCTAAACATTTTGAGGACAGACTCCGTATGTCTCAAAGTGTATCTCCAGAGTCATGATTTCTTTTACTGACACATCTCAGTGGATGTCAAATTAAATTGATCATGTTCTTCTAAACATTACATCCACATCACGAAGGCTCAATAAAACAGAACAGAGTACAATCTATATGGTCGAACCTTGTTCTGTCTCCAAGTACCAGCATCATAGTATAATCCAAGGTATGTGCTGCAGCTCATATGCAAATTGTAGCCAATAATTAAGATAATGCAGCCAATGTTGATATCAAACAAAATTGCTAAAGTCTTAGCATTATGGGCCTGAGTTTATGGGAAAAGTCAGTATTTTGGTGGGCCAGGGTTTGGGGTCGTGTTGTGATTATGGTAGAAAAATTCTTTCTCCTGATATGTAAGTGCCTGGGGCTTTGTCAATCTCTTTCTTCATGTTGGCTTATTGATCAATCTCTTTAAACCTTCAGCAGTAGCACTTCCAGTCTTGATCACTTCTGTTGCTTGGATATTAATCTAATTATTATCATTAATTATGACTTTCGGATGTAGGCCATAAATGTGTATATATATGAAACTTTCCCATTTTGCTGTCATGTAATCTTAATGTTGCTTAGTAAGAGTGGCATCCTTTCATTACATCAGCAACAAAAGCTCTCAAATGGTATCCAAGAAAGACTCACCTTAACCAAACAAGCAAATAATTTATATTTTATAATTTTATAAATAGAGAATAGTTAATATTAGCATGAGGTTCCAGTAATGCTTGTCCACAAAACCTCTCCCCAACTCCAAACACACACACTTAGACGCATAGACCTTTCTCTATAATTTGAAAATGTCTTACAGGGCTCATAACTGACTAATATGATGCAGGAATAAGGGAGTTGAAGACTGATATTCATACCTCTCTTGTCAAGGAGGGGACATTGAGGCACAATGCAACTAAATGATCTGCCAATGGTGAAGCACACAAAGGCCGCAGAGACAGAGAAGTTCCAGGAAAGCATTTTTTAAAATTTACTAGAAAAACAAGGCCTATTTAATTAATAGATAACCCAATTACTCTGTTGTTTATTCTATCTTGGACAAAATCATTTTATCAGCTTTAAAGTCACCCTTTATTTTGAAACACAGAAGGTGCCAGTTTTCGTAGTGGGGAGGAGGGAGGCTCTGTGCTCGGAGATGGCCAAATCAAGTGAACGGTGAGACCTGAGAAGACCTGAGACCTAGGGTACCTGCTCATGGCTTTCAGACAATGGCAGGCAGAAGGATCCCAAAGATGGTTGTGGGTTTTTCTTCTTCTTCTAAAGATAATACAGTAAAAGAGTTTAAACAATATGCAGAGTACAGGAAAGGTGTAAAATAAGGCTAATCACTGTATTGTTGAGTGGCCAGTGGGAAGTCATTCCAAATGGGTATCGCTCTGGGAAAGGGGTAGGAGGAGGAGGAACGATGGTTTGAAGAGGTTTTACATGTTTTGATTTCTTTTATTTTGTTTTTTGATATCTCACTGACAGTGCTAAGGCAAGTCTTTTCACTTTGTGCTTCAGAAAAGCGAAAGTATGCATATATTTTCCTGAAGAATGTATGTCAGAAACATTAGTGTCTGGGGGGGAAAGTGTAATGATATACAGAGTACTGTAGAACTGGTTTTGGTTGCAAGATTAAGCTTCCTTCAGACAGAGGATGCCTATTCCATGACTCCAAGCAGAGTGCCCTCTTCAGGGGCAAAGGTGACTCTAGAGTCCTTTTGGAATCACCTACGAGTAGCATTTTAAAGAAGCAAATTGCTTCCTGTGCTTAGAGTGAAAGCAGTAGGTTTTAATTCAGTAGTAAAGCCATGACCCATTAGCAGCACATGTAACTTATCTAAACACAACTCTGGAATTGTCAAAAAAAAAAAAAGCATGATTTAGAAAACTATTTAAATTATGTAATGTAAATTTGTATAGTATTTCTATGATTTTTTTCGAAAAAAATTATGTTACTGTGTGTATTGGTAGCCACAAAACCATGTATACCGTACTATTTTTTGGCTTTGGGGAGGATTTGCAAAGGTATTTTGACTACACTCAATTTTTACCTAATGAACACACCTTAAAACTGAACTGCTACACAAGAAAAGACTACAGTATAATTTAACATAAGTTTAATTTTACTATAAGATTAAAGCTACCTTATTCTGGATAATATATAAGGTATATTTTGGATAACTTATCTAGATCAGAGGGACAGCGGTCTTAATCTAATATTGATTTCAAATCAGGTTATAAAACCAAATTAACAAAATATCCAAGGTAATGTTTTTTGCATTTTTTGATTTCTGTTTATTCCCACATAACTTGGATAATGTTTGGCGAGGCATCTTTGAACGTCTGATAGGAAAGGGAATTTAAGACCATGGTTCACCACCAGAATCCTTGGGTAAACTGGTTCCAGGGCTACTTTTGTGTCCTTTGGTGATGCTGAAGCTTGCTGGGCTAACCATGGGTGTATCAATTGATGTGTGGCTGAAGGTTGGCCTTCACGTTGATGATTACCCAAGTGACTGTCCCCTCTCTTACTGCTCTAAGCTTTCAGGGGGACTGAAGAAGGATCGGTGTGCACTTTGCCTTAGAATCCTCCTGTGCAGGTATGATTTTACCTGGTAATAACACCACCAGGTGGTTTTCCACAGGCAGGATTTCTGCTGTGAAAGCTCTATGGCACTTTTCTTCAAAGTCAACTCAACATATGCTCAAGAAAGCACAATAGGAACCCAGCCCAGGCGAGCCCAGTGAACTTCCGCCAAGCAAGACCCGTGTTCATTCATGTTAATGTTTTGCTCGTCTCATTTGGGAGTTGGCATAGAAAGGGGGCTCCAAGCGATTGCCTTTCTCATGTTGCTGGGGTGGAAGCAGGAGATATTCATGGATTTCTGTTTTCCTTCCTCCCTCTCCCTCTGATCCTTCAGATTTATGAGGAATCCAAGATGAATTTGGAGCAGGAGAGGCCGTTTGTCTGCAGTGCCCCAGGCTGCTCCCAGGTGAGTGTGCGGATCCTCCGTGCTCTGGCATGCAGCAAATGCACCCACCTTCCCACAGGGAAGTAGCTCTCACCTGGCAGCCACACCTGCCCTGGGCTCTTCTTCTTTACCAAGATACTATCAAAGTCCGTCACCATCATTATCATGATGATCACCATCTTCATCATTATCACATTCCCCTTTGAATAGTTGTAACTACTTTGCTCATAGCCCCTGAAATATAGCAGTGTTGGACGTTTCCACACATAACTTCCCCCTGGAAGCAAATCAGATGCATCCCACCTGTCAGCTATGCAAGGCTGTCATTTCAGAAAGGGGGAAGGATGGCGTTTACTTTTATCATAGCCACTTGAATACTGGTCAGACCTTTGGATTACTGGTAAAGATAGCTCACCATCATAGGTTAAATTTTATTTTGTTTTTCCCTAGTAGTAACAAAACAACTCCCTATAACTCTTCGAGCACCTACAATTTTCCCATGTATCTAAACTTTCAGAGAAGTTGTCCTGCTGCAAAGTATTAAATCTCTTTTAGTGTCTGATGGCTCCCATCTAGTGGAATTAGAATGGGGGTTAGAAAGATTCTACCTGTAGAGTGTTTGATATAGGAATGCACATAATAAGTGCTCAATTAATATCCACTGTTGTTACTACAACTGCTGCTGCTACTACTACTATTCTACTGGAACCTAGCTGTATGAAAGAAATAAGAAATGTTCATCGCCTAACGTCAGAGCTTTGCATTTTACCTTTGGAACTGGAGTGACTTTTTCTACTCTTGACCCCTTTGGGTATCTCCATGTTCCAGTCATTGGAAAATGACCACCTGTGGTTCCTTTCATGCCAAAATCTTCATTGTAATAGGATATAGAACAAGTTTAGAATCCAGAGCACAGACATCTTTCCTATGCGTAGCTACACTCTTTCCCTAAGCTGCTCAGTGGTTTCAACGGAATCAAGCCCTCCTCCTACCTGTTCATGTGGTACAGTTGGCAGTACAGCATGGAGCAATACCTGGGAGTGAGATGAGAGTTGACACGCATTGGAAACTCTTGTTCTTCTATCTCCCCAGAGAGTTTGTGGAGGATTCTGGGAACCTCCTGGAGGGAATAAGCCATAGAAATGTAAGACATTGTTGCTGGTTCATACCAGCCTCCGACTGAGCAACCAGAGTCCTTTGCTAAGATTCTGGAAGTTTCACCAGGGGCTTTTGTGTCAATGTTTATTTCCAACTTATAAATAAGAAAAGCAGTAGAGAAAATTATTTTGAAGCAAACTGGTTTGGAGGTCATTTTGAAGTAGGAAATGCTAGGAAAAACACAGATAGGTTGGTAAGTAACTGGGAAAAATCCTGCTAGACCAGACTCCCCACTGTGAATGCAGAATATTGCCGAAGGTACTCAGATAACTAAATTAAAACTTAGTTCCTAAGGTAAAATGGATTCCCTCTCAGTTTCTTTAAATAGAAGTCTTGATAGCCAAAGGGAATCAGATAATTTGAGCAGTTTGCTTTGCTTTGGCTATGAAAATGCGACATCAAGTTTTCTTCCATTCTTGTCACTCAACACATTTGGGAGCCTACTATGTGCCAGGCACTCTGATTGCCCTGGGGAAACAGCAGTGCACAAGGCACATGTGTCCCTGTCCCCACAGAGCCTCACAGAGCCTATGCGTCAAATTTGTGATCACATGATCAACTAATCAATTAGTTGGTCAATTGCATTTTTCCATAAAGAAGACCATGGACCACTTTGAAGAGTATAATGGGGGATTTACTTTATTTGGGGAGGTACCTGGCAGGCTCCCCTAAGGAAGGGGCACTTAAGGGACTGGGCCCCTTAGGACACCCAGCAAAGGCAAGAGAGGATTCGGAGCCAGTGAAGATTCCCTGCAACATCCAGGGTTGTGCATGACAGCAGAGGAGAGCAGTTTGAGGAAGGGGTCGTTAGCCATATCTGACATTTAGGTAAATCAGAGAGAAGAGAGCTGCACATAAGTCATTGGATCGAATGGCAGAATTTCCCAAGCTTGGCGCCATTAACGTTTCGGACTGGATAATTCTTTGCCGTGGGAGGCTGCCCTGTGCATTGCAGGACGTTTAGCAGCACCCTTGGCTCTACCCACGAGATCCCCATAGCACTCCCCTGTTGTGACAACCAAAAATGTTTCCAGACATTGCCAAATGTCCCCCGGGGGGAGCAAAGTTGTCCCTGGTTGAGAATGACTGTCCTCTGGTTTGCATTTTGGCTTTAGCCTCACTTCCTTCTGGATCCCTTCTCTTTTGGGATCACTCACTTCTAATCGATGCTCTCCCAAACTTTTTTATGTATTGCTGTAAGCCATCTTTTCTCCTTTTTGGCATCAGGCAGAGGATAAATAAATAAATGCCACAGACGTGTGGTCACTGGTGTCAGACCTGTAGAGCTGGGATAGTCAGAGGACTGAGCGGAGGCTGTTGGGTTTGGCAGGTAGGTGCTTGCCGGCGACCTATGAGAGGTGAGCAGGGCGGAGGCCAGATTGCAAGGGATTAATGAGCGAGTGGGTGGTGAGGAAGTGGAGGTGGCAAGCACAGAGGACTCTTTCAGGAGCACCAGGCAGTGACGGGAAGCGGAGTGATATAATGGTAGCCTGAGAAGGAAGCAGCTTTTTTAAAATTAAAGGATAGCCAAGCTGGATTTAGTCAAGGGCAAGAAAGCAGTGAGAAGGAAGGAGTGAGCGTGCTGGTTTGCAGGGCCAGTCCCCAGAAGACACGGGGTGGAGAGGATCCCGCAGAGGAGTGGGGACGCTCATTCTGAGAGGGAAGGGGATGGAAAGAGAGTCAATGAACTCACACCCAAATTCCGAGGTGGAGGCGGTAATAAACACGGAAGGGGATCCATTTGGAATGACCTTGGACTTCTTGGCAAAGGAGCAGGTCATTTCTTTGAGAAGGATGAGTGGACTGAGGAAAAGGTTAGACAGATATAGAAATTAGAATTTACAGTTCCTTGATTTTAAAGTACAATTCCAAGCTTCCTCCACTGCAAATTTAAATATAAAGATGCATCTGAAACTCAATGTCTCCGTTTAATGTGAAAGTGTTTCTTTTTTCTTGACAAGCTATTATAAAAATATGTGCATCATTAATTGAAGAGGTGTTAGAATTAAAGGTCGCAGTCACCCAAGGGTCTCCTGGGGGGGTATTAGGAACTCACAGTCAGGTCAGTTGTTGAGATCATGGCATTGACTTTAGGGATGTCCCATAGCCTGGGAACCTGCGTGGAGAAGAAAGGCTGGCTGGGAATCGGAAGGGGGAGGAAATGTGAATTATCGGTGCTTGCACCGCATTGGGGTCATGGAAAGATTTTTTTTCTCCTTTTTCCCTCATTGGAAAGAAACTTTGTTCTATTAGGAATGGCCTATAATACCTGGGAGATTTTTTTGTTGTTGTTACAGCTCCTAAGACATTATCTTTGTCTCAGAAGTAATGAGAAAAACAAGCTTCTCTTGCTCTTTCTAATCTCATAGAGCCCAACGTCAATGTCACTCTTCCTTTGCCCTCTGCATTAGCCACGTTCTGGGCTCCAGTGGCTTCTCTCCGTTCTGTATCTGCTGCACGCTGTACATTTTGATTATTTACAATTTGCTGTTATTTTCCTACCTAATTTTTTTTTAAAAAGTCACAGATGTCTCTGTGATTTGTATATTGTTTTGTTTGGAGGGTAATTATAGTTAATATGAAGTATTATGGAAATTATTATTATTTAAGAAGTATTCTGGTTAATATCCTACTTTAGGCTATTATTTTATTGAGTCAAAAATGGCTTTTAGATAAGAAATGAAGGCCATTACCATGTTATATACATGCTCCCCACAGGACATTTAACCATTGTCTTTAAGTCACACGTGGCAATGTCACATATTAGGTGGAGTCATTAAACAATGTTGTAGCAGACCAAGAGAATAGATGAACCAGCAGCAAAAAACCACATGTCATATAAAATAAGCTTCTATGTATTCAGAAATCTGGCATAAATCTGGCATAATTACCATGCTTTTCAAATTCTGTGCTCTTCAATTTATATGATATAAATGACAAGTACATAAGTGATATTTATACAAAGAGCTACCTTTAGAATATTCTATACAGTTCAGCCCAGCGAATTTTCTTGTTCTCCTTAACACAGATCTAAACTATTTACAGAGAAGATTTCTACCATAGTATAAGAAGTTAATTGAAATTCATATTGACTATCCTAAAAAAAGTAGGAGGCTCTGAAACATTTTCTAAATTGTCAAAGATTTGGAAATGTTCATTAGAATTTATTGTCCTTTATTTTCATTTGACTTTGATAAAGCAGATACTCTGTTCAGTTCAGTTATTACAAACATACCAGTCTGAGTCAGGATAGGATCTGCTACAATAACAAATTAGCCCAAAGCTTCAATGGCTTAAAACAACAAAGGCTTATTTCTGTTACCCAAGGATACGTTTCTATTGTTAAATGGCAGGAAGTTCTTCATAATCCTTTAGAATTCAGAAATACTTTTCATAATCCCTCAGAGATTTAGGATGATTGAGTGGCCACTATTTCCAGTATTGTGAGTTGCCATGCTAAAAGGATGGGGAAGGGGGGACGCTAGAGGGTCTTACACCAGGAATTGGATGCTCACCTCTGAGTGACATGTCACTTCCATTCATTCCTTACTCAGTGGGCAGAACTAGTCACATGGCTTTACCCAGCCACAAGAGGGCCAGAAAATTTATACTACCATGTGACCAGAAGTCAGACTGCAAAAAATATTTGTCAACTATAAAATCATTTCCTGAAAATTAAAAATAAAGTACTGGTTTACACTGTATAGAGTATAGAACACTAAAAATAACTTGTCATATTACTATAAAATCATATGTATAATTATAAAAATTATAAAAAATCAGATATTGGGTGGGCAAGGTCTTCATAAACAGAAGCATACTATACAAATTAAGCATGGCATATAATACTTTCCCAGAGTTTTATATGAATCAAGATTCTTTTCCTCTACCATGCGTTTCTCCTACTTTGAGTTAATCTATAGATAATGTCTAGTGTACTTTTCATGCCTTAGACTTAATTTTACATTATTATGTAAAGCAGTAGCTACTAAAGGAAAGTTCCAAGTGCTTTTGCAAAATTACAGTGCTACTCAGGTCTAAATTCACTTTCCTGTTTTTGACATGGTTTTCTTCTATGTATAAGAAGAAATGGGAAATTTTTAATTTTGTCATGTTGCCATTAATGGTTATTCTTTGTGACCACAAATACACATTCATTTGAACACTTATTTTTTTTCAAAGACACTGCCTACCCTAGGTAGGTGTTAGAGCACAGCATATTTTCGGTGCGTATGTTATTTTAATACATTGTTCATTACCTCTTCCTGTTTTATCCTTTAACTAAATACAAAGTTTAAAGGCTACCCTCAGAGCAAACCTCTAGTTCCCAAGAAATGTATAGCTTACTGATTAGTTAGCCCTGTTGGCTACATCCAGGGACTATCTAAGAAGTAGAGACCTTTTAAAAAAAGTTCCTGGGGACGGTGTAGGGTATGAGAGAATGACAGAAGGCAAAGATCTTCTACTTATTATGAGTACTCAGCCAGATTTTTCTGCAATATGGTTAACTCCTTTGCTAAACCGTGATGGAAATTATGACGCCGATATTGGGTGTTATTCAAAGGAACATCCCAGCACATTTGCTAGCATGAAAAATCTTTTAACTCTACTTACTCATGCTTTCACACTTTTTCAGAACTGATTTTTTTGTTTTGCCTCTCATCTTTGCAATGCTGAATAAATCGTTTTCTCTGTGATGGTAAATATGTTTTACAGAACTGAATGGCTCTTCTTCTCTCCTCCCTTTTTTTTCTGTTTGCCTGACAGCGCTTCCCAACAGAGGATCATCTGATGATTCACAGGCACAAGCACGAGATGACTTTGAAGTTTCCCTCAATAAAAACAGACAATATGTTATCAGGTAAGGAGCCATCAGGCAAAGAAGGGAGAGAATTATTCTTCTTTTGGTGGGCTCATTCCCACTGGCAAATTCTGTGCCTTGAAAATACACATTTCTAAGGTATGGCAGAAGTGTAATCAGCTAATGTTCACTCAAATAATGGAAGAGCTGCAACTTCTCATTTTCTGGAATGTGCAATATTTATTACTATGAAACATGGCTCCATATCAAATGAATATTGCGAGGAAAAGATGCTATGCAACTTTAGTAGAGGAAACTCTCTTTCTGGATTGAGATGGTCAGTGAAGGTGTCCTTAAGAAACAGTACCTGCCTCATAAGTGGAAGATTAAATGAGATGACTCATGGAAACATAGCAAGTGCTCAGAAAATGTGAGCAGAAATTAAGAGTAATAATAATAAATCCATCAATTATTACCATTCCTTCCCATTTTGAGACATAGTCTAGTAAATTAGAAAGAGTGTAGGGATAGGAGTGAGGAACCTGAACTCTAGCCTGGGCTCTGCCTTCCCTGGCCATGACCTTGTGCAAATTGTGAACCTTTTGGGGCCTCAGTTTCTTTTCCCATAAAATGGGAGTGATTGTATCTACCCAACCTATTTTATAGGCTTATTGTGAAGGTTCAGTGAAAAAATGTAGGATAAAGTGTGTTGTAAACTCGAGCAGGGTAATCAAATAATTTCTTGTTACACTTCTTAGGCCAGAAATATTTCACCTCAGCCCTTGTCTCCCTGGAATCACGAAAGAGATCATGCACCTCCAGACATGTTTTAAATGATACCAGAAAAGAAACTGACTGCCCTGGCAGGCCTGGCTCATGTAATTTAGCATTTCTATGGCACTTTGATTGTGCAAATATTTTATTATCACTATTATTAGTATATCCTCTAAGAGTTTTGTCACATGGGTGATTCTGACCCTATGTTACTGATAGGAAGGGGCACAAGGCGATGCAGTGTCTTTCCCAGGCTCACAAGCCAGGGCAAAGGTGAGGGCCCTTGATCCTGCGATCCTCACCTGCACATGGCTACTGCACCGTCAGGCTTCCCCAGTTCATACACATAATCAAATGTTCCCGGTGTCAGAGTCGTCCACGCGTCATCACAACCGTGCCAGTGACTTGTTGATAGTGCAGATGTGCTGTGGTTTGGAAAACTCTGAGTTCAAAGGCAGCCTCTGCTCTTCTCTCTGCCTACCACCCGCCACGTCTCTCAGCCCGTTTGTTTGTTTTTTTTTTTTTTTGAGACAGAGTCTCACCCTTTGGCCCAGGCTAGAGCGAGTGCCGTGGCGTCAGCCTAGCTCACAGCAACCTCACACTCCTGGGCTCAAGCAATCCTTCTGCCTCAGCCTCCCGAGTAGCTGGGACTACAGGCATGCGCCACCATGCCCGGCTAATTTTTTCTATATATATTTTTAGTTGTCCAATTAATTTCTTTCTATTTTTTTAGTAGAGACGGGGTCTCGCTCTTGCTCAGGCTGGTCTCGAACTCCTGAGCTCAAACAATCCGCCCGTCTCGGCCTCCCAGAGTGCTAGGATTACAGGCGTGAGCCACCGCCCCGTTTGTTTTTTTTAGAACAAGCTGGCTCTTTAGAAACTGCTTTGTCATTCCTTAAGTCCACAAGCAAAGATGCAGAAACTCAAATTTGTAAGAATTCTAAAAGCCTGGAAGGATTAGGAAGGATGGCTTGTTCTTTTATGTTCTATAGAGTCACACATAGTATAGCTTTATGGTTCAACAGTAAATGTAGAGACACAAGTAGCAAGGCTGGAGACTTTGCAATTCCTAATGTTTAGATTCATAAGTTCTTCCTTTATTTTTCCCCAATTGGATCCCTAAAATAGGCTGCCTGGTAAGCACCAGTGCAGTGTCTCTCAGGCAGGCTGCTAGGATGGCCCTAAAGGAGCTCCTTCTGAAGGTCTGAAGGAAAACAACCAAAGATGTTTGGACACTGGGGTGAAGCATTCTTCTGTGTATTGCCTACGACAGGTCTTTTTAAATTAATCCTTGTAGCTTTGCAGTTGTTCTTACCAGACCCTTATTAGTTTGAGGATGTTCCTACCCATCATAGGCAGTGACACGTGGAAACTCTTTGGGAGAAAAGTAACTCTAATTTTTATGTCACGTTTGGAATGAGAAAATGAAGGGAGAAATAAACATGAGGAAACACAGCATGAACACTATATTGATGTATTTTCTTTTGCTTTCTTATGTTTTGTGCTGAAGTTGGTATGAGATCATTTAATACTGCCAATGAAATGAAGTGCTAACTTTTAAAACTTGCTACCCACTTTGCATGTTTGTAGGTTCATAGAATTTTCTCATTGGAAGAGGGTGTAGAGCTCTCCAGTCCAGCCCCATTTCTTTGCACTCAGGAAACTATGTGTAATATACCAACATCGTCCACATTGAATAGGCTATCTATTGGGTGTTTTTACTACTTTTATTAAAAATATGTCCAGGCTGGGCGAGGTGGCTCACGCCTGTAATCCTAGCTCTCTGGGAGGCTGAGGCGGGTGGATTGTTTGAGCTCAGGAGTTCGAGACCAGCCTGAGCAAGAGCGAGACCCTGTCTCTACTAAAATTAGAAAGAAATTAATTGGACAACTAAAAATATATAGAAAAAATTAGCCAGGCATGGTGGCGCATGCCTGTAGTCCCAGCTCCTCGGGAGGCTGAGGCAGGAGGATCGCTTGAGCCCAAGAGTTTGAGGTTGCTGTGAGCTAGGATGACGCCACAGCACTCTAGCCCAGGCCACACAGTGAGACTCTGTCTCAAAAAAAAAAAAAAAAAATATGTCCATAGATCAAATTAGTTTGTAATTATATTTTGATATACTTTCCATGATAAGCTTTAGTATCTTGAGAGCTAGAGAGTTATTACCTCTTTTACTGTATGTGTTTATGTGATATTAGAATACTTTGTTCCTTGAAAGATTGGTAGAACTCACATTAAAGCCTCCTGGTCCTGAAAAACAAAAATATGTTCATTAAAATTTTATTTACCGTCCGTCTATTTTGTGGCCTATCATGAAGATGAATGATTTTATATGACTTGAAATACAGTAACCATTAGAAAAAAAATTTCATCAATCAAATCTTAAATCAACAAACAGGGTAAAAATCTTCAAGTTCCTCTTAGACCATTTTTTTCCAAGTAATATTCAATTACACAAAATTTCATTTCAGATGATTTGGGGCTTGGCATATATTAGGAAGATAAAATATGATAGGTATTTACATGACAAACTTCAGAAAAATCTGGTTAACCTTTATTTTGGAAAATCACTTCATCCTTAATTAGCTATAAATATTGTAATTAGAGAAGGTGTTAAGATGTCACAGATATACTCTTCAATAATAAGTTTCCAAAGGGTTGAAAGATCTGAAATAATTTCATAGCTTTTCTGTAAGGTCTATTTCATTTAGGGTAGAGTTTTACTACTAAAAAATGATTATAAATGATTTTTGACATGCCACAAGGTAGGATATTAAAGGTGAAGCCATGATGTTTTGTTGAGTCTGATTGTCTGTACAGATGGTAAACATAAGCTCTTTATTCCAAAGGGACAGGGTAGGAACACAAATGGGGATGACAGTGTTAGGTTCTGAGGACAAAGACTTGCACAACCTTTTCCACCTGGGTCCTCCCATCCTTATTTGTCCCATGTGGTACATGATGATGGACATGAGTCTTTCCCTTCAGCTGTTCTTGTTCTGATGAAAGATAATTTCATGGTGAGGAAAGTTGTGATATACAAAGTTTTTAAGTGCCATGTTTGAAATGGGAATGTGTAGAGGACAATGTACTTCCACACACGGCTTTCGAAATTACCAGTTATTATATGACACAGTCTGTTCAGTTTGAAACTCATGCTGAAATTTCAATATAGAGGTAAAGAGGACAGTGCTTGGGTCTATTTTAATGGAATTATGGTGAGGCACCCAGGAATTCCCAAATCTTGCCCTGTTAAACATCCCCATCCTGACTTCTTTATAAGGTTCCTATAGCAAACTGTATAGGAAAAAACCCAGAATGGGAATTAAAATGCAACTTTATTTATAGCTGAACAAGCAAATAATATTGCAAATAAGAATTCTGATTAGAGAAAAACAAAAAACACCGCAATTGGAGCACATGATTTTTTCTCCCTCTTTCTCCTTCCTCACTATAAATCTTTGGACCAACAAGTTCAGTCTTTCCTGTTGGAGAGAGAATGAGACAGGGCCATCCTCCAAGGTAGGGCTGCATGTGCATGTGTGTCCACCCACACACTCACACGTGTGTGTGTGCGTGTGTGTGTGTGTATGAGAGAGACCTAGAGATGATGGATGTTGCTACATGGAAGGGAAGATCAAGTTCAAGAGTGCTGTGGACCTTTCCCATAGGGTAAAATCCAATTGACATCTCAGGTGGGAACCCTGGGAGAAAGATACATGGAACCACGTGTCTTTTAAATGACCAGGAATCCTACCACCAGACATCATGGCCCAGCTAATTTTGCAGGCAACTGGTCTGTGCTTGGAGGACAGGTACCAGTCGAGGTGGGGGAAGTGGGGCTGAAATTGCCCCTCCACCATCATTTATTCATTCATTCAACAAACACTTACTGAGTGCCTACAAGGATCCTATTGTGCTAGTTGCTGGGCATGCTGCACTGAACAAGACCGATGAGGCTCCTCTTCTCCTCTTCTCATGGAGCATACTACTCTAGTGGGGTGTGGAGGAAGAGAGATAATAACAACAAAAAAAAGCCCCAGATAAGTAAACAAGAAAATATCAGTTAGTGACAAGTGCTATGATCAAGATAATATATGGCAATGTGATAGCAAATGGCCAACAGGCCGCTTAAGGATGGGTGGTCAGGAAAGACCTCTGGGCCCTATGGGCTCAGGGCTCCTTTCTCCCTGACTTCTGAATATGGTGGGACTGGGCATGGTAAGACCACAAGACCAGATGTGGCACAGCTGGCTGTATCTTGATTTGATGCACCAAAGACAGGC